GGATATGAAGCGTGAACAGCTCCAGAACGACATTCTGCATGTTGCTGGAGCTTTTGCATGGGTGAGAAAATTGCGCCATTTGTCGAGAAACGTGCTTCACTTCGCCTTCCCAAATTGAAGTACTTGCCACCTTTTTATATTAACCCGCTCCACAGAATCGCCTATTGCATTTGTTCATGGAAGCCGCTTGTGTTGGAATAACGGTCCGCTGAACCGGTGCTAAAGGAGCGCGTGTTCAGACTTCGCGATCGCGCGATCGGATCGCTTGGATCGCGCGATCGGATCGCGCTACTGAGGGTGAAATTACTGCGGGAGGGGGTCATGTTCGTTCATGTTCAACTCAACTCAACAAACAACAACAACAAACCTTGCTCATCGCCTGTTCTGTGGAGGGAGCCCCGTACTGAATATCACCATATTCTCACCATCTTTAGATGCTGTATCCTGCCTCCAATAGGCAGTTCCAAAAACGATATAAAAGTAAAGTTCGACCTTTTTTTGATGTCTTTTAGGCCGTGTTCATATTCGCAATACTGACGTTTGCAGAAACCGTTGAAAGGAAAGGTTGTATATAGACCTGGAGGATGGCAGAACAAACAAAGCAAACACAATGTGACAAAAGTAAAGTGAATATCTGGAGGACTGGCAAAATCGGGGGAAGGGAGAGAAACAACATCACCCGCTGTTAAAAGTTCTGCGTGTCTTACTTTTGGAACAAGATGTTCAAACACTCCGCTTGAACGTACTCAGATGCAAAATTCAGTATAATAATTAGCATATTGTATATTTAGTACTATTTTACATAGGAAATAATAAATAACTCAAAGATATTTCGAAACGTTCTTTAAAATTAGGAGGGCGTTATGTACACAAAGGAAGAAAGAAGGAAAAGAGAGAGAGAGAGAGAGAGAGAGAGAGAGAGAGCAGACAAGTAGGATCAATAACCACCATACTACGCACATAACCCCCTCCCGCAGTAATTTCACCCTCAGTAGCGCGATCCGATCGCGCGATCCAAGCGATCCGATCGCGCGATCGCGAAGTCTGAACGCGCTCTAAGGAAGGAAGTATCGTTCGCTATGAGTTCTATTGGGGTTGGGGTTTTTTTTACGTTCGGTTACTATTATAGATAAAAGATGCGCTTTGTCCGTTCCCTCTTTAGGTGGATCGCCTTTCCTTGTACCGTTACTCGGCGACACAATTTGCCTGTTAAACAGCCTCCACGTGGGACTGCTACACATGTAAGTACTTGTATCGCTTGGTGTATAATTCAAATTTTCGTATGCTTGGGGAGTATACCCCTCTGAGGCCGGTTGCTAAATTTTAATGAACAGCTATAACTGAAGTGTTTGTAGCCTTATTATATATCTAGATTCCTCCACCATTAAGTAAGATAGAGCGAATGTAAGACCTACCTATTATGAAAAATTTAATTGAATGACTATCCTTATTTCCACATCTATTTGTTAAAAATTTCGTGAGTTGTCGTTTCGTAAAGCTGCGTTCATGCTTTGAAGCAATGTCTACCAGCGACTAGGAAAGCATGGATATCGATCTGGCGAACGCCAGCGTCCACTAGCATCCAGAAGTGGAGAGTATGGGGAAGTAGGAAGGAGCGGACAGCTCGATTAAGCGTTGCGAAATCGCGGCTGTGCAGCTGTACTGCTACACAATACTGTCCTTCTGGAGGCTTGAGGTCGCTGATAGACGCTAGGATCGATATCCATACTTCCTAGTCCCTAGAAGCTGGTGGACGATGGAGGAAGCTGATTTCTGTACGGGATCGATATCTGTACCTTCCTAGTCCTAGTCACTGACGCGCTGCCGTGCGCTGGTGGACGCTGGTGAACGCTGATGCAAAGTATGAACGCAGCCCAAGTGGTTCATCACGACTGGTTACGCTCTTTGTGTAGTTTAGCAAGTAGTGCACACAAATTTCATGTAACCCTACCTTGGAGCGCGTGTTAATATGGGCATGTCAGCACGCGCTCCAAATTTCTAACAAAGACCCACAAACTATAAAAACTTCTTATGGGGTTTGGACTCGTTGGTATACTTCTGGTTGGTATTCACGAGAGGGAATCAAGTTTGATTTTGACCAGTTGTGCTGGTGATCTCTCCATCCTGGTCTAAAAACGTTGTTGTTTCAATCGGTTACTCGTTGTTTTAGTCGGACTCTCCACGTAATTCATTCATGCATGAAGAAGTTTCAGGTGCGGTGGTGCATATTCGTGAATATATGCGATCGTAGATGGCTGATGCAGGCGATCACAGGGCGGCGCCTATACATCGGAAGCCAGATCGTCCTCCTCAGTCACGACCACATCCTACACATGGTAAATGTCCTCTAATGGCTCGCGAAAATGCATTCTGGCAAATTACCATGAATTACTAATTGATTTAATTACAAATTACTTTGCGAAAATTACTATGAATACTTAGACAGTACTATGAATAGTAAGGACGCAGTCCGTGTATATGCAAGCTAGGGAAATCCTTTCTTGCACAGGGTGGCGCGGTTCACAACCCCAAGGAATGTACCCTCTCTGGTGAGAACGCCATAGATCTCCCACAGAATTCCTGCTCTTTTCTCAGCTGTTGTCAATATTGCTTGTACAGCGGCGGCGATGATACCGTTTCATTGTCCGTCTCGCTTTCGCACGCTCAGTTTACCTTTGCCGTATACTGCTATGCTTAAAACCGACAGGGCTCTTATTTAAGGCGCATTTGACGCTTTACTTTTGCTGTTTTTTCTCCACAGATAAACTAATTGGCATACAGCCATATGTTTTGGAACCTCATTAACCATGTTTCATATTCGCGCAAAGTGTATTTAGGTTTGCATTCCAGGAAAATTGAGAATTCTTCAGAATGACCAGACACTTTTTTGTTGGTCTAGGACGCTGTGCTCACAGTTTCTTTTCATGTCCTTTCCTTTGCTTTTCCCATTTTTTTTCATAGCTTTCATCTGACGCTTTCCGAAGCGTAATGGCAGTGGCTGGAGAGTCTCATTTGGTGAAAATTCGCTGATTCTTCAACTTGCTGCCTCGACGCGCACTCAGAAATCCTACTATATATAAACGGCAACGTCTGTCGTCTGTCTGTCTGTCTGTCTGTCTGTCTGTCTGTCTGTCTGTCCGGAAATTCGGAATCACCTGAAGAGCCAGTTGGAGGGGCGGGTCAAGGGTGGGTTGGGTAGGGCATGGGCCAAGATGTACGGAACACACATGAACTAAGCTAGGCTCCGCCCACTGTGGGCGGGGCGTGCGCACAGTTGTGAGCTACAAATTTCAAAAATTCGTAGTTTGGTTCCAAAAGAGCCCCAAGAGCGGAAAAAGTGGCAAACGATAGGCAATCGGTTGGCGGACGAAATGAGTGAGACACACCCACTTTGGGCGGGGCGTTCTATAGGTGGGCGGTGCTTGCTACGAAACTTTCAAAATTCGCAGTTCGGTTCCAAAAGAGCCCCGAGAGCGGAAAAAGTGGCAAACGATAGGCAATCGGTTGGCGGACGAAATGAGTGAGACAAACCCATTTGGGGCGGGGCGTTCTATAGGTGGGCGGTGCTTGCCACGAAACTTAAATTAG